CAGAGTCTGGGCTTCATCGCAGTAAAGAATTTCAATGTAAGGCAGTATGAAACAGAGCTTTTAACATAGACTTTAAGCATGAAGATCAAGAGAAAGAGGCACTCTGGAAGAAAGATGTACCTGACACCAAGGGTGTGGGCTTCTCAGAGTCTCAACGAAGCATATTCACAGTAGCTGTATATACTTTTCCTTGGCTTTTGAAGTTATATCTCTAAGGGTTGCTAAGGAACCTAAATGACATAATAGGGCAGTTCCTGTGAATTGGATAGGATTAAAGCTAGCTAGGTAAAGCCTTAGGTTGCAAGGGTTGCAGAGGAAATTTAGGTCTAAAAGTTTTAAAAATTGATATTGTATTATATTGTGTGTATGAGTACTTCGTTTGCATGTATGTCTGTGCACCGTGTGTCTGCAGTGTGCTTGGAGGTCAGAAGAGGGCATCACATCTCCTGCGGTGAGTTACACAGGATTGTGAGCTTCCCTGGGAGTGCTGGGGATTGAACCTGAACCCCCTGGAAGGGCAGTCAATATTCTTAACCATTGTGTCATCTCTCCAGCTCCCAAAATGATTTTATTGTAAACAGAAAGTTTGGTCTTGTTTGTGGGACTCCCAGAAAATATCTCGGAAAGGATTTAGGCCATACTTGAAGACCACATAAGCGTAGGCCTTAAGTATGGTTCATTGTTAACATTCTCTATATAAAAGGAGTATAGCTTTGATGTCAACAATTGTCTTAAGTTAGGGTTTTTATTGCTATAAATAAAATACTATGACCAAAAGCAAGTTGTGGAGAAAAGGGTTTATTTGGCTTATACTTTCACAAATTAGTCCATCATTGAAGGAGATCAGGACAGGAACTCAAACAGGGCAGGAACCTGGAGGCAGGAGCTGATGTAGAGGCCATGGATGGGTGCTGCTTACAGGCTTGCTTTGCAGGGCTTGCTCAACCTGCTTTCTTATAGAACCCAGGACCACCAGTCCAGGGATGGCACCACACACAGTGGGCTGAACCCTCCCCATTAATTACTAATTAAGAAAATGTTCTGCAGGCCGGTACACTGCCCAGTCTTATCTCAATTGTCGTGTTCTTCTCTCTGATGACTATAGTTTATATCACATTGACATAAATCTATCCAGTACAACCTTCACAGAAAAGGTTAATTATTTTGAAATTATTTTTTACACTTATTTATTTCTGTGGATGTGCAAGTGTGTGTGTGTGTGTGTGTGTGTGTGTGTGTGTGTGTGTGTGTGCCTGTGGAAGTCACCACTCCTGCAGGTGCCCCTTCCACTCTCCTTCACCATGCTGGCACAGGGGTTGAAATCAGGTTATCAGGCTTTGTGATGGGTGCCTTTCCCTGTTGAGACATCTCACTGTCCCTGTGCTGGAAGTTTTGATCCTCAGCTGGCAAGAGGCTCTTTCCTACTCATGGCCTCATAATTGTCTCTGCCTCTCTATCCTACTTCCTTTGGCAGAGGAAATTTCATGACTCACAATGTTCAGCTAGGGCATGGTATTACTGGGTACGTTTACCCAGGTTTATAGTGACATAGTGATATGAAAAATATGGAGTTTTGTGAAGAAAGGAATTTGAACCCAGTTAAATTTAAGAACAGAGTTAGTGTCAAGAAAGTTTCTGTGATTGTTCAAGAGAATGGCATTATTGAAGAAGAGTGTTGGACTTTAGGGAAGGTGCAATGAGGGTGAGACCCTATCCACTAAAGGCTCCAGACTATAACAATGCAAATTCATTTACAAGTAGAAGGTCTGAAAGCATCCAGTCTTCAGTGTACTCTTCTGGAAAGCAGCTGCCTAGGAAAGATGCCGGATCCAATACATAGAAGTCACTCTAGCTGTGGTCCCAGAGAGCTAGTCAGCATGCTATTCTTCTGATGCTGACACTGAAGCACCCAGATGCATGTGTAAAGGAGTCATAGAGCTTTGCACCAAGGTTCCTGGAGCCAAGAAGAGTGTAACGTGGCTGTATAAGTTGCATAGAGCTTCTGAATGGGTTGTGCATGGAGCTCTGAAAGTGATGCCTAGGTTACAATGGAGAAACTGGGCTAACCACTGAAGGGAGCCACGAGCTCCAAATAGAGCTAGCATAAGGGAGATGTATTAGTTCAGGTTCTCAAAGGGAACAAAAGTGATAAAATGGATGTATGTCTATATTAAAAGGGGACTTGCTAGCCCGATCACACACTGTGTCCAGTGAAGTCCAACAAGGACTGTCTTATGACCGAAAGCTCAAGAATTGGTAGTTGTTCAGACCATGAGGCTGGATGTCAGCAGTCTCAGTCTGGCAATGGAGTCCTAGAAGATTCCTGGACAGCTGATGATCTTCAATCTATGTTAGAATCTCCAAGAAGTTAGTTCTGAAATGCAGGCAAAGGAATGCCTCAACGACAGGATGACAGTGAGAGCCAGAAACAGAATACCAAAAGCATCTTTTTCCCATGTCCTTTTATGTGGGCTGCTCCTAAAAGGTATGACTCACACTTAGGGTGGGTCTTCCTGCCTCAGATAATCTGATCAGGCAAATCCTTTGCAAGCATGCTCAGCAACTTCTGGTTTAGTTGATTCCAGTGGACAACCAAGATTAGCCATCACGGGGGGGGGGGGGGGGGGGGCATATGTGATTCAGGCCCCAGTGCTGGAGGAATGGATCTTCCCAAGGTATTAGAAGCCAGATGATTCCACCATGAGCTAAGATGCCAGACAAGGGGTTGCAGGGGTTTGTGCTTGCCCTACAAGGTTTTGGTCTTGCTTATCTTTCCTTGTTATGTTCTGACTCCCCCCTCTAATATACATTGAAAATATATAACAGTTTTTTAAAACGGACTCACAGCTAGGAGTTTGTCTTGAGTCTTGGAGTGACTTTGAACTTTCAAGCAGTGTTGGAACTGTAAGACTATGGAGAGTTTTGAAATTGGACTGAACGCATTTTGCATTATGAGATGGTCTTGAGCCTATGGGGGCTAGAAGCAGGTTATGGTTTGCATGTAAAATATCCCAATAGGTCGATATATTTGAATACCTAGTCTCCAGGGGGTGGTAGTGGTACTATTTGGGGAGGTTGTGGAACTTTAAGAGGTGGCAGCTAGGTGAAGGAAGTGAGTCATTAGGGCCGGCCTTGAGATTAATTGCCAAGCTCTGTTTCCTGGTTCCCTGAGGTGTGAGCGAGTAGCCTCCATATGCTTCCACTGTCATGGAGCATCCTGTCCCAAGCCTTCCAGACTATGATGAATTGTATACCTTCGAGCCAAAATCCTATGAGCCAAATAAGTCTTTCCTCAATGTAGCAGCAGGAGAGGTAAGCAACAGAGTGGTGGTGTTGCAATATGAGTGAAGACAGAGGAGAGCAATGTGTCAAGTTAATACTCAGAGCGTGTAAGATCTGAAGGGTGTTTTTGTGGGACTTGCCGAATTGACACACATTTTCACATCTTTGCTTTCATTCACATGTCTCCCTTGCCCTCTGTCTTCATGTGTCCAAGTCTTACCCTCTCTTCAAGGACCAGTTTAAATGCCACATTATAAAAGAAAGATTTCCAAATGCATCACATTTCTTTGTTCTTTGAAATCCTGTGGTAAGTTGCCTTTACTTCTTGTCAACAACAATCCCTTTAGACCCTTATTCTAATCCTGTTATTCACCTGCATGTACCACACAGTGAAGAGGGATTCAGACTGCCTTCATTTGCTAACCTAAGCTTTTTTTTTTTTTTTTTTTT